GTAAATAATACGAATAAATAACGACGAATTCCGTTTGTTTAGGAAGTTCGTTAGTGCATGAATGTCAACTGTGACTACAAACACGGCCGCGCCAGATGAAACAAAACCAAACAGTATTTTATTGGCGGGCCTAAAAAGTGAGTCTGGCCGCTTTGAACTCTTCGCGACAACACCGTTTGTTTATAGTCGGCATTCTCCTCGTCATAATCATTTAAAATTGAACTTCTAGTGGGACTGGATGACGGATTTAGGGAGGAACTGGTTTGTATAAATTGTTTCTCATAAGGAATTTGTTTATGTAAAATGTACACATGTTGAGCTGCGAAATTTATTTTTAAGTCTGTTTTAGCCGGGAAAAGTTGATAATTATCTTTTAATTTTATTGTGATTCGTCTGGAATCGCAAAATGTTAACAGTTCAACGAGATAAAAATACTTGGAGAGTATAAAGGCATTTTTATACTCATTTTTGATCAAGAACAGTGGTTGTCAAGTCCAGCATGCAAAAATCTGAAGTACCCAATGAAATAAAAAAACTTGAAGCGCATAAAAAGTTCAATACTGCCACAAGCTAGTTTTAAATTGTAAATGCTTTCACATTTATTTTGATCAAGAAAATTGATAATTACTTTTTTATAGCATCCTTAAAAAATACGTACAAATGTATAAATATTTCAGCAATGTCGCACAATTTAGTTTAATTTGAAAATATTGGTACATTTATTTGTGTTTTATAAACTTTTCTGTTAAAGATAATGTAAATTCCATAGAAAATTTATATTTGAACTTAAAATTATTAACAATAATAATCTAAAGGTGAAAAGTCAAAAGGGTATATGTCAGTAGAGGCTGGTACGGGAAGCCTCTGGAGCGCCGCCCCCTCACCCCTAGAAATTTTCGTAGTAAAATAATTCAATTTAAAATTTAGTTTAAAATATTATCTAGATAATTAAACAGATTAGCATTATGATACACATTAAAAAGGAAATGTTAAATTTGTAATATGCGATTAGTTTAACTCCTCGCAACTCTAAATCTGTAAAGTGTTTACAGCGGTGGTCTTGGTTACTGTCGCGCAACACATCTGCGGCAACAGTGAAAGACGTAGTGGGAGTAGTGCATATTTCCTATGTTGTTTGAGGTTTGTTTAATCCTTCCCTAACCAAATAATAGCTATTCATCGCTTTTTTTATTATTAAACGTAATTTGTTTATGTGGTGTAAGATTTTGTTACCTACATTGTTTCTTCTGTTTTTTAAAAAGATTGTAAAAGTTTAAATTAGATTGTAGACAGACTAACAACACTCGCAATTCTATATATTGAAAAATCAATAGTAAGAGAAGTACCAAACTTGAATTAAAAAGTAATTCAAAAGCAGAAGAATCGACTTTAACTATAAAAAATAGTGTTGTGCACATTTTCTTATATTTCAATAGTACGTACAATGAAACTTATATTTGATTTTTTTTCAATATTATGTACTTAAATTTTTCCGCCTTTTTCAGTTACATTATTTAAAGTGTTTTAAAAAAAATAAACTAAGGAAATCCTGTTTTTCCAAATGGCCATAGACGTTTTAGATTGAAAACTTTTATTGCCACCAGTATGATTACAAGTTTTTTCGGAAATGATTTTTTTTGTATTCCAGACAAAATGCGTTAAACATGGTTTTTTAAAATCAAATTTTAGCCATATCTTCCAAAAAAAAAAAATGTACCTACTGGCATTGTTATTTTTTACTGATATGTTTTTGAGGCTGCTAAATACGTCACTGTAGTTTTAGTTTTTACTGCTACTATCTCTCCCAGTGACATTTTATGACAAAACTTTTTGAGTTTAGATTTTTAGAACGTATGTCATGTATTATGAAAATTTCTGTTCCTCACACAAGAGTATTCTTGTACTACAGTCGAACTAGAACATAAAACCTGAAAAATAAAAAAATATTAGTAGACATTTTATTGTACTTTATGAAGGGAAGGGTATCTAGAATGATAATATCAAAAAAGTAACTCGAAAGAAGTGACGCTAAGTTATCGAATTTAAAACGTTCAAGTAAAAAATCTTGCGCGCGACGAGAACAACGTTCACGCGCATGCGCGGGCCCGGCGCTTCTTCTCCCGCGTGCTGGCCGTTCATTAACGTTAACATTTACTGCTGCTAGTTCGTTTATTATATGAACTATCGATGTACAACTTTCTCCCGGTCCGATACGTTCAATAGTTAATTAACAATTAGCGTTATTTTGGGAACAAAGAGGCGTAGGTGATTTCTCTTTTTTTAAATTACTGTACAGATAAGCTCTATTTAATGCAAAAAGAGTGAATTCCCGAGCGATTTTTGACTAACTTTAGAACAATTTGTTGATAACGCTATTTTGCGCGTCCTATTTTATTAGTTGCAACTTAATTTCAACTTTTAGAAAATTTTCTTTTTCGATACGTTTTTGGATCAATTTGAACCTATATCTACGATATTAACTTCTAATATTTAATAACTAAACAATTAGATACGAAAACCGAACGAAATTTATTAACAAATACTTGGAACAACAATTTCAAGGTCAATTCATATCGGCCTTTGGTACATATGTTGGTGTTTGGATTGACCGTCTTTGCAATAATAATGTGTAATTTTCGAAAACTGATTTTTCCGCGTTCAACCTTTATTTTACAATTAACAAATTGGTAAAATATGACCTTAGATACCTTAAATTGTAGATAATTTAGTTGCCTACAACATAAAATGAGAAATTTTCCGATAGGTCGTCTAGATTTTCATAGGCAGAAAAAAAGTGAAAAAACACGTAGTACTTCAACTTTGTCAACTTAGCATTACTTCTTTCGAGTTACTTTTTTGATATTATCATTTACATACCCTTCTCCGTCATAAAGTCCAATAAAATGTCTACTAATAATTTTTTTACCTTCAAAGTCTAATTCAAGTCAGCAATTTTAACTTGAGTACTTTTTTATGTAAAATAAAACTTTACGATGTTGACTGTAAAAAACCTAAGCTCAAGAAAATATCATAAAATGTCTCTGGAAGAGGTAGTAGCCAGCGACCACTAACTGATAGCTAGAAACTAACAAAAATGAGACTAACCTAATTAGCGTCTCTGAAAAAGTATAACTAAAATTTTAAGAAATTATCTTTGAAGTTAAACAATGTTCTTCGAGAGCAAGAATTCCAGATACGTATGCAAAAGATATCCAAGCCTGTAAGAATCTTAGATCATCTAACAATAAGATACCAAATATATGAGTATGCTGAAGAAAAAACAGGCAAACAGAAAAAGTTTGTACAAACTTTCGTTCCTCAGAAATACAAGCTTTAGCCTGTTATATTATTTCCTTTTTGAAGTAGCAAACTGATTTGTTTTTTTTTTTCATTTTACTTGAAATCTACCAATTCCAAGGTAAATCGAAATATAGTTTAGAAATGAGTTTTCTTTATGAGATCGATAAATCCATAAGCGGCGAATAAAATTCTGTACCATACTCCACCCTCTACCCTCTTTCCCATAATGAAAATGTTGAAAACTTTAATTAATTAATTTATTTATTTAAATACACATCGAACAGGCGCTGCTCAATAACAGGATATGTTAAGTATAATAATAAAATTTAAAAAAAAGTTAAAAGAAAAAATAGAGAAAAAAAATAAAAAATAAAAACTTACAAATAACACAAATATAAAGAACAAAATAAAAAGGCAACAAACTATAAAAGACAGATATGACTACATAAGTAAAGCATTTTTTATATCATTAGCCAAACAACAAAANCAAACCACGAGATATTCGGGAGCTGAAAGTGAAAATTCGGGAAGAAATTGCTAATATTCCGTTGAATATGTTGCGTCGTGTTATGCAGAATTTCAACGTTCGGCTTCAAGATTGTATGGAGAGAAGAGGAGGCCATTTAGCAGGCATAATTTTTAAGAAATAAAAATGGCACACAATTATCTTGTTATTGCTATACTTTGTTTTAATTAAATACAGTTACTTTCGGAAATACGTCGTTTTCAAAACTTCCCGCTCCCATGGTCCACCTTGTATAAAAGACAGATATGACTACATAAGTAAAGCATTTTTTATATCATTAGCCAAACAACAAACAAGATCGACATTATTTTCTATCTCACTGTACTTGGAAACAATTTGATACAAGGGTGATGCAACTAGGATGTTACTACGTGCTGCGGGTAGACTAAAAACATTATTACTTCTAGCTGATAGTCGTTGTACTTTGATATTAATATTACTTAAAACACCTGGACAGCCAAAATGTTATGTAGAACTTTATACAAAAACGTTACTTGAAAAACAGATCTTCTTTTAGCAAAGACATGAATATTGAAACGCTCAAGTAATAGATCATGCGGAAAACCCTAAGCGGGATATGTACCATCAAATAAGTACACATCTGATTTCATAAACCTACGTTGTACTTTTTCCAAAGTTGCAATTTGATTTGCATAAATAGAGTTCCAGACTCTAGATGCATATTCTAATTTATAATGAATAAAGGTAGTGTAGAGCAATCGTAGTGTAGAAATACTGATAAAGCCTTTGGAATTCCTTATTATGAACCCCATATTCTTGAAAGCAGATGACGCAATTATGTCTATATGTTTTGTAAAAGATAATGTAGAGTCAAATGTAACTCCTAGGTCTTTTATGTAATCGGGTCTATGCAATATTATATTATCCAATTTATAATCGAATAGTACAGATTTTATTTTATTTTTTTTTGGTGGATGTAATGATATTACTATTACACTTGGAGGCATTTAGCGTTAAACTATTATTTAGACACCACGAACTAATCACATTAAGCGCATTCTGTAACATGTAGCAGTTGGCAATGGTGTTTATTTCGCAAAATAGCTTAATATTTTACCTGTAGAACCCTTTCTAATTTTAAAATAGAACATTTCTCTAAATTTGTATTATTTTTTTCTAAACCCCCTTATGTTTCATAATGAACTCAACGTACCTTTAAAACTATCTCACTATAAGGCATGGCAAACCAGGGCAATCCCTGTAAGCTGTCTCTGTGACTGCTCTCGAAATCTCCATAGTTGTCGTTATGAGCCCACATCACCACTTGTATTACTTCCAATTTTTTGGCATCACCACAGTTTTCATTTCTGAGTCTGTCGTATAAATCCCGTAACTTCTTGATGACCTCGTCACTCTGCAGATTTATGTTGGCAAACGAGAAGTATATCCCTATGATGTTTGTATTCTGCAACACTTCGTTTGTTGCAATTAAATCGAATTCGTTTGAGTTGTTGACCGAGTCGCACTTGATGAGTTTTTTGCCAAAAAGGCGTTCGCACCATTTCGTTTTTTCCATTGCTAAGAAATAGCTTCAGAAGAGAGTTTTTCAATACACCACCATCATTCCTGTAAACAAAAATGATTATAAGCACCTATGTAATAGGTTGGAGAATAAGTTATATCCGGTTTTTTTTTTTCAAATTTAAAAATTCGCATGAAAATTAAACGTCAAAATGATACATGTTATTCGAAAGAGGACTAAAAATTGCTCTACCAGATTCTGTTTTTGGTTGCTTTGACGAACGGTTCGTCAGTGGTTTTCGCGTTTTAAAGGATTTTAACCTTAAAGACATAAATCGTCCCGGATGCCCTGTTGAATGTGATGAAGAGAACTGAATCGACTCCTTCACGAAACATGTGGTTAGAAGGAACGTTTCCTTCGTCGTATTGTTAGTGGTGATGAAATGTGTACGTGAACTTGAAACAGCGGAAAGAATGAAAACAAGGAACTTCGCGAATAAGAACAGAACTTCATCCGGGGCAGGTAATGTTATGGTGGGTTTGGAAAAGGGATTCTTTATTAGGAACTCCTACCAAACAATCAAACCGTCAACACAAAACTCTATGTCCAACAAGTACGACGACACTACGCGGCTATTCAACAAAAAAGACTTGATCGGTTATACGACGTTCTTTTGCAACATAACGATGCGCGACCATATATCGCCAATATGACTAAAACAGCTACTAGGAAGTTGAATTGGGAAGTTCTGCCCCACCCGCCCTACTGTCCCGATTTCGCGCCTTCTAATATTCACCTCTTCCCCTCTTTGTCACACTTCTTATGTGGTGTTTTCTTTTAACAACGACAATGAGATAAGAGTTGGATGAATTTTTCGAGTTAAAACCGAAAGTTTTCTACAGAACGTTTGGAGGAGGTCATAAGCAATGATCATTGATTACTAGGGAAACATAACTTTCGTATTTACGAAATAAGTGCGAATAAATTCGAAATTACGAAAAAATTGCGAATAAATGCGAAATATGGTAATAAACGCGAAGCGATGCGCTTCTGGTAAAATCTGAAAGAGCTGGAATAAATTGGTACCAACAAATTGCTACACTATTTTGTCCCTTTTTAGCTATTGCCACACAGTCGCTCAGAAAAGATTTCTTAATCGTAAGTTTTTCCAAAATTCCATTTTTTAAAAATATCGCGCAAAATGAACTTATTGAGTCACTTTCATCTACAACTCTTAGCTGCAGCGGATTAAAAGAACATTCACGATGTTCTTCAGGATCTATGGACAACTAATAACTAAATATACTTATTCATCTAAATTTTGCAAAAGCGGCAATTCAAAGTTTATGATTTTGTCATTACGGACAGAAGAACCAGGCTGTTGCAAGAACATGGAGAAACGACAGCAATGTTGGCTTTCAACTAACAGTAAGACTATCTGATACATACATTATAATAGTTGTTATATTTAAAAATGCTGCGCCAATATTTTTTATAAAGTGAGAATTTCTTTTATTTTACAACTTTATTATTATGTTGCTGACTTGAAGATTTGTTTTTGGTTTTAGGGAATAAATGCAAAATTTTGAATTTTGGATTTTTGTTTTCGGGAAATTTGATTGTTTTTTTTTGCCAAAATTACGTGTCCCTACTGCTTACTGATTAGCCTACTGATAACACAGACCCACAAAAAAAAAGTTCAAAACACCAGAGCGAAATTTGAAGATTTTCCATGTTTTTGGGGTAGTTTTTCGCGATTTAAAAAAAACTTGAGGGTGATGAAGCAATTTTGACTCCGGATTCGGTTTCAGCGCGTCAAAATTCATAAGGATAGGTGGGTCTAGTCTCTGGTATTTCTAGTAAGTTAATTTTTGGCACATTCTTCTAAACAACTGTAACAATTTTCCATTTCCTAATATTTTACAATATATAATAATATAATAAAGATAATGAACTTACGCAGACTGTTCTAAATGTAGATATAAATACTTGTTTTGATATAAAAACAAATACCTCATATTTATTCAACAAATGTGTAAAGTAACATTTTTTTCACATGTAATATTTTTTATACTACGTAAAATATGTTACAATTAGAGCTGGCGCAATTGTCCGCGCGCTAAAGATGTGTGGGTTATACTATAGATACAAAAATAAATAAAGTGAACAATGGTTATAAGATTTATGTCATACACGTATGTTGTTTTACGCATCGATGTCATCAGTTCCATAATTTAGGCGGGATCGGTTATAAATCTTCACCAGGTATGTTTCTACCATTGTTTCAGCAAACCTTATTGGCTGCAATGATATGTTTTCATATGAAGAGAACAGCTACTAATGTAATATTTCCATAATTAAAATAATTTATTCATAACCTGATCCTACTTGGTAATATCCACTCGGGGTTGTATTTATTCCAGAAGGAACGAAATGTTTTATTATTTAATATGTCAAATGGTAGGTTACATACAATCAACATGAAAACTAAATCAAACATATAAATTGGGTTTTCTGGTTTCGACCAGTTTCTTTTTATGTGTGTTGGGCACTGTTCAACATTTATTACTTTTTGTTTATTAATATTTATTTTAAACAAGGTTTTTATATACAGTGTGAGTATACAGTTCCGCACAAAATTTATATCTTTTTATAGGTATATTGTTTTCTGAAAATTATGCAAAAACACATCGATTAGTAAATTTAATTTCTTTTGACAGACACATTAGCCATGTTGGCCAAAATATTGCCTGATGACGTAAACATGCAATTTTTTGAAAGGCAACCCTTACAATTTCCATTTTTGGATATAGCATCCAATTTTGAATCTGTTGATACTTTTTCCAGTGGTTTTCCATTATTCAAATCTTTATGTCAAATATTGAAGTTTGGGACTTGATACGACCGGTTTTTTTCCAGGATTTAATTGGATATCTAATTTTACGTTATATACAGGGTGTCCCTGAAAAGGATGGATAACGCTTGACCACAGGTTCCTTGGATGAAAACAAGACTATTTAGCCTAATTTACCTATGTACAAAAGTGTACGCCTACTGAGATATAGCCTTCTAAATATAGAACAGATAAACTAGTTTTTTTTTCAAATAATTTAAAAACTGTTTTTCTTAGAAACTTCAAATTTGGTACACATATTTTTTTTATATAAGGGCAATGTAAATATAGAATTTGGTGAGAATACATATACAGGATGTTCTCTTTCTAGTGCCTGTGTGCCACTAGCTATCCCGTAAATTTTTTGTATGTACGCTAATGACGACAGAATTTATATTTTTAAAAATAAACACTATTTTAGAAGATTTTTTGCCTCGTTTATGGATTTCGAGTAAAATTGGCATTTTTGGCATTAAATAATATAAAATCAGTTTAAGATAAATAGACCATTCTAGTACGAGGTGCCATATAACAGAGGAACAAATTCATAACAATAATTAAAAGGTTCTGTGTCAAGCTAGCTGTGATTTAATTTTATCTTACTTTGTTTTTTATTGCAATTTATACTTTTGCTGAACAAACTGATATGTTAGTAGTTTTGGGTTATTGTGAAATAAATTGTTGTGCTACTGTTCGAACATATGCTGAAAGATTTCCTAATCGAAGAACTCCAAATCACAAAACATTTGCTAATGCGGAGAGACGCCTTCGGGAAACAGGACGTTTTTTACCTGTAACATTAAATCGTGGATAATGTACGGCCGGAATTATTCAGCTGGAGGAACAAATTTTGGAAAGGGTCGAAGAAATTCCTCAAGTAAATAAAAGGCGTTTAGCGGCAGAGGTTGGCTTTCAAAAAGTTCCTTTAATAGAGTATTAAAAGACCAGTTATTACAGGTTACAGGTATTACAGGGTACAGGTAGGTATTACAGGTTATTAAAGGTCTAACAGGTGGATAGGTAGAGGAAATAATGCCCCTTTAAAATGGCCACCTCGATCCCCGGACCTAAACCCATGTAATTATTTCATTTGGGGAGCGTTGAGGACCACAGTTTAAAATAACTTTTCAGTAAATACAGAAAACGAATATGGGAAAGAATACAACATGAAATTAATGTTATGAGAGGTAATGCACAATTATTGGATAATTTCTAATTTTCGAAGAACTAATGTTTGCGTTTAAGAACAAGAAAGTAACTTTGAGCATTTACTGTAATATTATTTTAATGTGATTACAAATATCAGTTTATTTAAAATGTTAATGTTGACTTTCTTACATTATTAGTTGATATTGTTTATTTAAATTATTAGTGTTGATTTTTATTTTATTGATTGATAATACTAATACCAAAAATGTGTAGTTATTTTTTTTTTAATGTGACATTTTTTCATTATTATTCCTTTTTGAGGCTGCAGTTATAAATTATTTTTTATAAATCGGAATTTTTGCCTATATGTACTTATTTAATGTATAAAAAATGCGAATTTTAACTAAAAATCCATAAACGATATCGAAATTTTGTAAGAGCAAAAATAGCTCTAAAATAGTGCTCATTTTTAAAAATATAAATTCTGTCGTCATTGGCATACACACAAAAAAGTTACGGGATAGCCAGTGGCGAACAGGCACTAGAAATAGAACATCTTGTATATGTATTCTCTCCAAATTCTATATTTACCTTGCTCTTGTATAAAAAAATAAGTGTACCAAATTTGAAGTTTCTAAGAAAAATAGTATTCAAATTAGTTGAAAAAAATAGGTTATCTATTCTATATTTAGAAGGCTATATCTCAGTAGGCGTGCACTTTTGTATATAGGTAAGTTAGGCTAAATAGCCTTATTTTCATCCAAGGAACCTGTGGTCAAGCGTTGTTCATCCTTTTCAAGGACACCCTATATTTATTCTGAGATTTATTTGAGAGAATTAGGGACTATCTATTATATATATTATATATTTATATTATATATATTTATTATTAAGCGATTTGTATAGCACCATCAACTGATGTTGGTACCTCCTGTATTCCAGTTTGTCAATATTGAATCCAGTGTGATAAGAATCGTACGAAACAAAGTCAAGATTTCTGTTGTAATTTTTGTAGAATAAATATTTTATAAACTTATTTTGTAGTTTCAATTAAACTATGTA